GCCAGACCCTTTTAAATTCCTCCTCGATTTCAGTGTCAGTGGCGAATTGGAAGGGATATAACTCCATCTTTTCCTTAACACACCCAAGACACCTTATCTTTCGATGATAATGGGGTTCTCAAAGCCTTCTTCCTGCCAGTTAGGCCATCCAAGGATAAGAGAAGCAATTGGGGAGTAAATCTCTGGTGGTCTGAATCTCATTCAGAAATCTCCCAGAGGTTGGAAAACTCCGAGAGCGGCAGCCCAGGAATGTACTTAAATGGGAGGAGCAATTGCAGCTCTGGCAATTAAACTTGCTCTCGGTAGAGTTGACATCCAAGGAATGTTGGGTGCCACACCTTCCTGTTTCCTCGGAGGAGGAAGATTACTTTGGATTGCCTAGATCAGCATTTCTCCGCTTTCCTAACACCGTGACCCCTTAATACAGTTCCTATGTTGTGGTGACCCCCAACCATAACATTATTTTAGTTGCTACTTCATAACTCTCATTTTGCCACTGTTATGAATTGTAATGTAAATATGTATTTTCATTCTCCCACGACAACCAACAGAAAATACTGGGAGGGTTTGGTGGGCATTGACCAGGAGTTTGGAAGTTGTAGTTCACCTACATCCAGAGAGCACTTTTCCTCTTTGATGCATTGGCTGTTCCCTTTCAAAGCCTGCAAGATGTCCACTAAAAATTTGCACTAGAAATTTCAGTGTTTTGTTCCTGTGTAATCCCACTCACAGAGTTGCTGGACACCTCATTGCTGACCTCTGCTCCAGTGACAGTATCTAAGTCGGCTCTTATGTGAGAGCTTTGAATTGTATAGGGAAGGGTTTTGTTTTTTGTTTTCTGCTCCTAATGCAGTGTTTCTCAACCTTCCTAATACCGCGACCCCTTCATACAATTCCTCATGTTGTGGTGACCCCCAACCATAACATTATTTTCATTACTCCTTCCATAACTGTAATTTTGCCACTGTTCTGAATCGTCGTGTGAATATCTGATCTGCAGGATGTATTTTCATTCACTGGACCGAATTTGGCACAAATACCCAATACACCTAAATTTGGATACTGGTGGGGTTGGGAAGGGATTGATTTTGTCATTTGGAAGTTGTAGTTGCTGGGATTTATAGTTCACCTACCATCAAAGAGCATTCTGAACTCCCCCAACGATGGAGTTGAACCAAACTTGGCACACAGAACTCCCACAACCAACAGAAAATACTGAGAGGGTTTGGTGTGCATTGACCTTGAGTTTGGGAGTTGTAGTTCACCTACATCCAGAGAGCACTATGGACTCAAACAATGATAAATCTGGACCAAATACTCACCCTTCTGTATCCATGGGTTCAACTATCCATGGTTTGGAAATATTCCCCCCACAACACGATCCATAATCCACAATACAACAGGACAGAAACTCTATCTCAACAGCTATATGATGGATCAATAATTACCATGAGACTACTTGATTCGCCAGCTTTCCCTGGTGGGATTGCCCCTGCGTGGGTGTGGCGGGGTTCCTCGCTGTGCCCCGCGTTCCTTCTGAATACGTGGTACCAACTCCGCTGTGGGGAAAAACCCAACAAATATATCGTCTTTTGGGGTCACCATCACACATACTAAATTCCACTGAGTCCTACACTTCAGAAGTGGTAACCCACTGTGTTCATCACACTAGGTTGGGTTGAAGTGTTGACATTCTTCTCTGTAGCATACAGACTAATATATAACTCTCTTAATGCAAACTGATTACTGACAATACACTGGCTTCTAAAATGGAGTCTCAGTCTGAATAATCCCAGCTCTGGTCACATGGTCTATAGTCCCTCCCACAACATAGAGATGAGAGAAAACTCCATATCAATAGAGACATACAATAGAGTAGGTAAAGGTAAAGGTTTTCCCCTGACATTAAGTCCAGCCGTGTCCAACTCTGGAGGTTGGTGCTTGTAAAGAGGCCACTAATTTGTGACGAAGCCACCACCTGTTTGTAACAGTTTTGTAAAGGAGCCACCACTTTATAAGGGCTTATTAAATTGATAGCGTAGCTAGTCGCTACTAGTAATATTGATCTGGTCTTTCTTCAATATGTAGTGTGACTTAACTTGGAAAGGATTTGTAACAGGCTTTTAGAAGAAACTGTAACAAGTTTATTGAAATGTAGAAGGAGCTTGATGGTTTCAATGTTTCTTGACTCTTAGAGGCACATATCTTCAGAGGTTACATTTATAACATTCCTTAAAACAACTCTGGAAAGGACTCTTCCTTCCACTAAACAGGTTTCAAACTTATTTTTCTTCAAACTGTGTTTCTTTCTTTAACTGAATACTTCAGGTGCAAGCTTATTCTTCCTTTGCGATATTCTGTTACAATGAAGATTTTCCACTGAGTTTATCTTACACTTTCTACTCATACACTAACTACTAACATCAACTCAACTTATCTAAACTACCCAGGCTAAAAGCCAAAACCTTCCTGATTCTCACTACAGTAGAATCAGCCTTTCCCTGTAGTTTTTAAACTACAGACTACCTTCCTGGTTCTCACTACTACAGAACCAGCCACTCCTGCAGTTCACAGACTACAGACTGACTGTTTTAAAATGGCTGCCCTGCCAAGTGGCAGTTGGCTCCGCCCCTATTTCCATGGTAACCCAGCTCAAAGTGAGCTGAGCTGGCTACCATCCCCCCCAGTTATGCAACTTTAAATACTTACCCTTTTAAACATCAATCTATAATTATACATAACTGCAGGTTAAAATTCACACTTCACCACAGTGCTCATCTCCATTTCTAAGCCAAAGAGCCGGCATTGTCCATAGACACCTCCAAGGTCATGTGGCCAGCATGATTGCATGGAGAGCCATTACCTTCCTGAGCAGTACCTATTGATTTACTCACATTTGCATGTTTTCGAACTGCTAGGTTGGCAGAAGCTGGGGCTGACAGCGGAAGCTCATGCCGCTCCCCGGATTTGAACCTGCAGCTCAGCAGTTTAACCCACTGCACCACCAGGGCTCCACAATATAGTACACAACCTGAACAATAACAATAACTTGTATAAGAGGCTTGTTGTTTCCAACATGGCTTACCTTCTCTTTGTGGATGTGCCTTCGGCCGGCCTTTTCTCTGGCGGAGGGACCGATGGGTTTGTTTTCTTGCTGCCCATGAGGGGCACCAGCTCTTTGATCTCTTTGATCATCGTCCTAAGAGAGAGAAGATTAAAGTTTGTCAATTTGGCAACAGAAACATGAAACTAGAAATACGTTTAGAATCAAGACCATCGTGATTTCCAACTTTGACGAGACTGGGGTAACTCTTTCCCTTGTATCAATATAAAGCCGTTCCTGACCCCAGAGTTGAAAGGAAAGCATTTCTCTTGCCCTTACAATCAGATAAGGATTTCTTATCTCTCTTTTCCCGCAGACGAATTGACCTTTGTTGCACCTGAGAACTTTGTCTCTGTTTACAAAAGTCTTGCTTTCTATCTTTACTCTCATTTATTTATTTATTTGCAGTATTTATATTCCGCCCTTCTCACCCCGAAAGGGGACTCAGGGCGGATTACAATGAGATCATCCGGAGTTTCGGGGTGCGGTGTCATCTGTACGCAGATGATGTCCAACTCTGTCACTCCTTTCCACCTGCTACTAAGGAGGCTGTCGAGGTCCTGAACCGGTGCCTGGCCGCTGTAATGGTCTGGATGAGGGCGAACAAACTGAAACTAAATCCAGACAAGACAGAGGTACTCCTGGTCAGTTGCAAGGCCGAACGGGGTATAGGGTTACAGCCTGTGCTGGACGGGGTCGCACTCCCCTTGAAGGCGCAGGTTCGCAGCTTGGGTGTGACGCTGGATTCATCGTTGAGCCTGGATCCCCAGGTTTCAGCGGTGACCAGGGGAGCATTTGCACAGCTCAGGCTCGTGCGCCAGCTGCGCCCGTATCTCGGGAAGTCTGACTTGGCCACGGTGGTACACGCTCTTGTCACATCCCGCCTGGACTACTGCAACGCGCTCTACGTGGGGCTGCCCTTGAAGACGGCCCGGAAGCTTCAGCTGGTTCAGCGAGCGGCAGCCATGTTGTTAACTGGAGCGGGTGGCAGGGAGCACACAACGCCCTTGCTATCCCAGCTCCACTGGCTGCCGATTTGCTACCGGACCCAATTCAAGGTGCTGGTTTTGGCCTACAAAGCCCTAAACGGTTCCGGCCCAAAATACCTTTCCGACCGCATCTTGGCCTACGAGCCCACGAGGACCTTGAGATCGTCTGGGGAGGCCCTGCTCTCGATCCCGCCTGCCTCACAGGCACGTTTGGCGGGGACGAGGGAAAGGGCCTTCTCGGTGGTGGCCCCCCGGCTGTGGAACACTCTCCCTGCACACATCAGACAGGCGCCCTCCCTCATGTCCTTTCGGAAGAGCCTCAAGACATGGCTTTTCGAGAGGGCATTTAATTAATCTAGTGCTAATAATATGGTTATGAGAACTGGAATGGAACTAGGAATATGAGACCGGCTATGATTCCACTAAGAGGCGAAGCGGATTTTAGTGTAGTTTGTAGTTGTCGTATAGTCTGTATGTTGTGAAACTGACTTTTGTAATTGTCTTTTATGTGTATTGTACACCGCCATGAGTCGCCCGTAGGGCTGAGAATGGCGGTTAATAAGTACATCAAATAAATAAATAAATAAATAAATATACACGACAAATATCCAATGTCATTTAGACATACAACATATATAGACAGACACAGAGGCAATTTAACATTCCAGCTTTCTGGCTTCATGAGGTTATGCTCCATTTCAGCCACAGGAGGCACTGCCGCTTCACAGTCCACTTGTGACACCGGATCCTTGATGGAGTACTTCCTCATTCTTACGCATGCTGCTGGAAGGTTTTATGGTATCGTAAATTAGTTAAATTAGCCTCCCCGCATAAGAGTAAAGGAAAAGGTTTTCCCCTGACATTAAGTCCAGTTGTGTCCGACTCAGGGGGTTGGTGCTCATCTCCATTTCTAAGCTCCAAGGTCATGTGGCTGGCATGACTACATGGAGCGCCGTGATCTTCCCACCGGAGTGGTACCCATTTATCTACTCACATTTGCATGTTTTTGAACTGCTAGGTTGACAGAAGCTGGGGCTGACAGCGGGAGCTCATGCTGCTCCCCGGATTTGAACCTGTGACCTTTCGGTCAACAAGTTCAGCATAAAGTGGTACCTAAATTTCCTACTTGACAGAGGCAACTGTCTTTCGGACTGCATAGGTCAACAGCAAGCCAGACTATTAATGGTTGGGAGCTCACTCCAACCTGGGCTGACTTCGAACTCAGTAGTGATTTGAGTCCCCCTCGGAGTGAGAATAGCAGTATACAAATACTGTAAATGTAAATAAATAAATTAATGCAGCTGGCTACTAACTAGCTGGGCCACAGCCCAGTTCCCATTACATTCAACACTTGACCAATCATCCTCAGAAGACAGTTTCTCAAAGAAAGACTGTTGAGGGCCTCTCCCAGGAATGTGGCCTTGTGAATCTGCAGGAGAAACACTCCCTTCATGAGACACCTTGGGCCTCTCGCCTGGGCTTAACTCAGGCCTAAGAAAGCCATCATCCCCAATCCCAACCGGCCCAGACCCAGAAAAACCTTCATCCCCATTTCCATCATGAACATCAGACACAATCACAGGCTGAACTACAACAATGAAAAAAAGAACGAAAAAAAAAAAAAAAAAAAGAACTCAGGCCCAGGAAAACTCTCATCCCCATTGACAACAGACACAGGCCCAGAAAACATCAAGAACATCATCCCCATTAATATCATGAACATCAGACACAATCACAGACTGAGTTACAACATGCCAAGACTGGGTTACAGTGGGAAGCAAAAGGAATGACAACAGCTTATTTATCTATCTTTAAATATCAAGTAACATGAACTGAAAACAGTCTTCATTAAACAAGACCTCCGTCCATCCAAAAAGCAACTTTCTATCATGAGGACTAGAAACCTAGGGAACAATTTGCCAAGCAATGTAAGACTCATTCCTTTTTCCTGCCTGGCCCAATGAGTCAATAACAAGAAAAAGATATCATACCCTATTTATATCCAATGATATATGTCTGTGCCTTGTGTTGCATGGGAAAGCTGGGAGAGAAGGATGTCAACCTCTGGGTGCATCTGCAGTCGGGACCCACTTTCAATACCATAGCTCCATACTATGCAATCCTGAGAGTTATAGTTTCCTAAGGTCTACACTCTTCTCTGGGTGCATCTGCACTGGAGAATGAATGCAATTGGGACTCACTTTAAATGCTATTATTATTATTATTATTATTATTATTATTATTATTATTATTATTATTATTATGCCACGTCTCCATGTTGTGCAGTCCTGGGTGTTATAGTTTCCCAAGGAACATATTCTTCTCTGGCTGCATCTGCACTGGAGAATAAATGCAGTGGGGATCCATTTTAAATGCCATTGTTGTTGTTATGCCAAGTCTCCATGCTGTGCAGTCCTTGGGAGTCATAGTTTTCCAAGGTCCGTACCCTTCTCTTGAATGCTGGAGCATGACTAGGCACGACTCCACCAAACACTTCCCTGCTTCAGTGTGATGAAAGATAGTTTTGTTGATTGCCACCCCTCAAGACAATACGCTGATCGGCTAGAAGGCCCCCTGAGGACTCGCCGACCACATGGACACCACATATTTCCATAATCCACTCCAGTTCTCATTGTTTCCCTCTCGCCCCGCCTCCTTCTCTCCTGATTGGCCAGGAGGCCTATGTGGCGTGAGCTCACCCATTGGTTAAGGCACTCAGGAGGTGGCCAAGCCTCCTCCCTGCTGCAGAGCACCAGCCAATCAACACCAAGCCAGCAGAGGGGTGGGGAGCGGGAAATTCAAATCTGACAGCTCTGTTTTATGCATAAAAAGGCTGTATTTTGTGTACACTGTATGCTTTGCTTGATGAATTATTGCGACTTTGCATCCTTTCCAGCTGGATTGCAATAAAATCAACTTGGTGGCGCTTCCTTCAGCTTTGGTGAGATTCTTTTGGGAACTTAGGGAAATCTTTTAAACTGTGGCTTCTTTTCTTTTGCTCACCAAAGTAGCGAGCCCTCTTTGGTGGGTCTGCAGGGTCTCGCCTTCAGGGCGAGACCCTTCCAAATTCCTCCTCGACTTCACATCCACCATTGTTTGAGTCCATGAGTCCATAGTGTCCATTGTGCTCTTGAGTATTCGTGCCAAGTTTGGTCAGATCCATCATTGTTTGAGTCCACAGTGCTCTCTGGATGTAGGTGAACTACAACTCCAAAACTCAAGGTCAATGCTGACCAAACCCTTCCAGTATTTTCTGTTGGTCATGGGAGTTCTGTGTGCCAAGTTTGGTTCAATTCTATCGTTGGTGGAGTTCAGAATGCTCTTTGATTGTAGGTGAACTATAAATCCCAGCAACTACAACTCCCAAATGACAAAATCAATCCCTCCCAACCCCACCAGTATTCAAATTTGGATGAATCGGGTATTTGTGCCAAATTTGGTCCAGTGAATGAAAATACATCCTGCAAATCAGATATTTACATTATGATTCATAACAGTAGCAAAATTATGAAGTAGGAATGAAAATAATGTTATGGTTGGGGGTCACCACAACATGAGGAACTGTATTAAGGGGTCATGGCATTAGGGAGGTTGAGAAACACTGCGTTAAGGGATGTCGTGTACGAGGTGGGCAAGCTTGTTTTTTGCTGCTCCAGGGACTACAACACAACCAAGAGATTCAAATGACTAGATTTTCTCTTACTGTAAAGGCTACTTGGTGGTGGAATAGACTGCCTTGGAGGGGCCAAAGAACCATTAAGGCCAACCCTTGTTATGCAGGAATTAGCAATTAAAGCATTCCTGAAAGAGGTCCATCCAAACTCAAGACCTTTGAAGATGGAGAGGCCACCACCTTCGGAGGCAACGGCAACCATTCATAAACTGGGAGGCAAAAACCCGCGAAACAGCTTGTCCGCAAAAAGCGAACCGCGAAGTAGCAAGGGAACACTGTATTGAGAATCCGTGCCAATTTCTGTCCAGATCCATCATTGTTTGAGTCCACAGTGCTGTCTGGATGTAGATGAACTACAACTCCCAAACTCAAGCTCAATGCCCACCAAACCCTTTCAGTATTTTCTTTTGGTCATGGGAGTTGCATGTGCCAAG